TTTCCCTCGACTTTATTACACTTCATACATATTCTCGGGAAATACATATGGATACATTTCATTAAATTTGTTCTTATAACCCCGTAGATTGTGATTTAAATTATTCGTCGACATGACCTTTATCAAAATTATTAGTTGTCAAATTAGTTTCATATGTTAATATTTATGTATTGATCAACGGATTCAGTTGTACAAAGGATTAAAACAGTCGTGTTATTGATCTATTCATATCCGATTTTGACTTCCTGAACTTGTTCTCTTGGTATACTACACTTCCGTGATCTATCGTCAGCGCCTCTATTCGTTGGCGCCTCAAAGTAGCACGAAAAGCCTCAGTCTATACTACTATCACGCATTCTCACGCACTTTAAAAAGTTCATTAAATCTTTAATTTAATGCCAATTTCATTTTACTTTATTCCTTCAAAAATCTCATAAAATAAGAAAAGTTATATTTGTATTAAAATTCTACGTCATAATATTATTTAAGCTAAATGTTAGAGAAACGTGTACTGCGCTATAAGGTGCTTGCGGGGAAATGGTAAATTTCTATCTCTATAACGTGAACATTAAGTGTATGTTGCATAACAGTTCAGTAAGTTGTAAAGAGTTATTATCCATTTAAATTCTTAAGAACGACTTTCTTTACTATATTTTCCCAACTGTTTACAGCATTTATGGGCCTCTTTTGGTGCTTTCTGTAAAGCATGTTACTGAAGGAAAATCACCGAATTATTGAAAGCACTTTGTCCTCAACTTCCCTGATATATCTTTTAATTTGGAATAGAAAAGAATTACCTTGTCCTTCGAGAATACAATGATTTTTTAAGAAAACAGTATTTCAAGAACATGAGCATACATTTGAATAAATATTTCTCGATTTAAAAACCCAATAAATATATGTGTATTATTCCCTATGATACCGTATAGCGGGTTATTTTAGCGGGGTGTTAATTTTGGCTTATTTTGGCGTTTTGATTATCATCCGCTAAAAATGTAATCGCTAAAATAGTCAAGACTCTTTCTAGTGTCTATGTTCAAAGAGCTGAAACCCTACGTCCGCTAAAATTAATTACGCCAAAAATATTCCCATACCTTTGAGTAGACAAAACGCCAAATTTCACACCCGCCAAGAAAACCCGCTATAGGGTATGCTATTATGTATTGAGCTTACTGTACGCATGTACACTTTTTGCTATGAATATGAATAACAGTCAGCCAATCTTTATAACATTTGTTTCTTAATAAATCCTCAACTGGACGAGTAATATAATGTTTACTAACTAAAGGCAAATCTAAAACAAAGAAACAAATCTCGATAAATTTGCTTTCAAAATGAAATATGCTGAAACACTGATTTAAAAAGAATTTCAAATTTTTGTTCTCAAAAATATATTCTGATCGCAAGATTTTCATTTTAATACAGTATCCAAAATTACACATAATTAATTGAACTCCCCACTTTAGTGCTGTTCAGTAATATTTTCAATTGACAAAATTTCATTTTTTACAATACGCATTGCAAAATTGATTATTACTCACTATTTTTAGTGCGGTTTTTCGTATACTCCGCAAAATTCTCTGTCGACAGATGAACACACCCAGTGTGGGTTGTGGATCCTTTTACAGTAAAAGCAGCAGTATTTCAGAATGTCTTGATCCGTGCCGTCACAAACTTGTACACTTCGTTGTAGATATTCAATTGGCTTGTCGGTAATGGGTCTACGCAGTCTGAAAATGACAAACTAAGACGTAGATATTAACAAGTGGCCCAGGGGCCATAGGACTCACTTGAGCACATCGGCAAGGAAAAAAACACATATCAGATCAGAACTGAAAGTTTACTGAGGTTGGGGGGGGGGGCTTGAAATTTACTTGAAAAGAATATTTTGGCCCCACCCTAGTCCCGGGGGTCATGACTTGAACTTGTCAAACTAGTATGAAACATTTGGGACATATCTCACAGTAAAAACCTATTACACCTGCTTTGTTGATCAGCATAAATATCGATTTGATAATTCAAATGAACGAGAGCTTCCATATAGATTTTTTGTAAAAGAGAGACGTTGTTTATGAGTGAAAAACAAAAAAAAAAAGAAGAGTTTTTTCTAAAGATGGAGATAAAGTGTAATTACTATATATCATTCTTGTTTAGGTATAATAATCAATTCAATATCATCACTACCTGATGTTGGAATCAAAGTTGAAGTACCACCGTCAGCTAAGAACAAAAAAGAAATTATACATTGAAATGTTGTCTAATAATATAAGCTTTTGTACAAACATTTATTCTGTAGGTTATCAATACATCTGATAAGGTTCATATTCTAAGTATTTTAAAGCTACATATATGGTTCATTTCACAAAAAGGGTGTAAAAACGCACATTGTAAAAATATTCGAGCAGCCTTCTTTTACTTGCAAACGCAGAATTCTCGATATTTGGATACTTTTGAACATATTTTTTATAACGGCATACCTGAACATCCGGGCTTTTAACACGTCACTGGGCAAACATCGACTCCCCCGGGACGAGAAGGATCGCAGAAAAAGTGCTTGTATTGCTGGAACTGAGCGGGGTTCTTCTCTACACATGACAAATCTTCATGAAAAAATACAAAGATCAGAAATTGGAAAAAAAATGATAAACTATACATTTGTACTGTTATTTATTTATTTATTTTAGAATATTATCCCGGCATTAAGTTTGAATTCTTCGAAAACAATTAGGAACCTTTTATATTTATCATTTTTCTTAAATATCATGTTTAAATAAGAAATAAGATGTTATTTTAGAGATTCATTTTGGCTATGATAAGCTATCGGTCAGGTGATCAAAAGCTTTATCGCCCGATGGTTTTAATTGATAAGAAAACCTTTTTTGACGTATTTTCACTGTTAACCATTTGTAGGAAATCATTGCAATACCTTGTATTATAAATACTAGAAGTTATCACTTGATAGAAATATTACCGTACTTCTCCATAGGAGATAATTTTAAAATCCAGCAATTCTATATTATTCTCTTTTGTATGTCACTAATAACAATTTGGATTGCAGCTTCAGCATACAGTTCAATTTTGTAAATACTTGTGAATTTTAATTGATCCGTCTATTTACAGTCTAAATTCCGGTTTTTATTAAAGTTTGGATGAACATGGTCTATTAATTGAAGCACATTTTATTTTATTTGTTTTTTCTCGTCATAAATGCAGATAACGAAAAAAAACAATCAGAGTACATTTTAAGATACGACATTTTCAGACTGCGGAATGCAGTGCATATATTGAAATCATTCAGATATCTTAAAATAGCTTACCTTCAATTAACATTAAGTTTGAAGAGGGTTAAAATTCCTGGGTCTCAAAAATTATATGCATCTTACCTTGTGAATGGTGTATGGGGTCAAGAAATCCATGAACAAAGCCATTCATGCAGATTACTAACAAAATCCTAAACAGAACTTTCATCGCACTCATATCTGTGAAAAGATAATCTTTTTCTCAATATAATCAGCAGAATAGAAAAATATATTGTCAATTACAAATATTTTTTTATGAATTGATCAATATAATATTTTATAGAAAGAGTTTATTATAAATCTCCCTTAAACAACATTTCAAAAGTTCTATATTCGTTACAATTGTCAGTAAACATAATTTATCATAAAATCGAGTCATGACGTTTTTCATACGAATTGTTGGTCCATTTTTTACACAATGAATTCTACTATTTTTCACTTGTCCTATCATTATAAGGAGCACGTCTACTGTGTACCTTCTCGTACGTTGTAACAGCAAAATATTGACTAAGTAAAATGCACTAAAAACACTAGGTCAGGACAATGGTGAGTGAGTGACTGGCAGTCTAATTAAAATTAGTTGTTGGATCCGCTTGCATACTCGCTACACAAACATCTAACAGCATCTCATTGTGGGTCACGTCAGAGGTCAGATTCTATCAACCAATCAAATCGTCGCCTGCAAAACCATTGTATATTGTTGAAGCGAATAAATCTAGAGCTGTTCCAAATTTGACCTCTCACGTGACCCTCTATAGGATGTTGTTAGATGTCAGTGTAGCGAGTATGCGAGCGGATCTAAAATCTAATTTTAATTAGATTGAGTGACTGGTTGCGTTTTTTTTTAAAACAATGCCTCTTTGTTTTTAAAAGGAAAATATACATTTGCAAATATTTAGTTCCGAGAAGGTAAATTTATGTACTGTTCAAACAAAGGAAATCGTAAAAAAAAAAAAATAAACACGACAAATTAAACACGTTTACAGTACATCCCCTCCAACTCTGTTGCCATAAGATACACAACCAGGGCTGGAAACATTTTAAAGGAAAATATACATTTGCAAATATTTAGTTCCGAGAAGGTAAATTTATCTACTGTTCAAACAAAGGAAATCGTAAAAAAAAAATAAACACGACAAATTAAACACGTTTACAGTACATCCCCTCCAACTCTGTTGCCATAAGATACACAACCAGGGCTGGAAACATTTTATACAATTGTCAGACTGTTTTAATTATGATCCAATACTGCATTCCATTTCTAAAAAAACTTATTGCATGCTATACAATATTCCAGGAAAAAATAATGCAAGGAAATTAAACACGTGTAAAGACTAGTATTTTTCGTACCTTTTATTCGGCGAAAGGAGAAATTAAATTCCGCCACACTGATAAGAAAATCATGTGCAATGTGTATTTGTTACCTTAATATATCACTTTATCTGTTCTTTATACGTTCGCATATTAGATCAAAGAGGGATACGTATTGTAAATTTTATCGACAGTACATGAGGATCTTTTAATGTATGTGTTTTATGTTTTAATTTTAACATTTCTAATCCTACAATACATTGTTATATCGGATAGTTACCAAATATGAAGCGAAAACTAATATATAAACAATGTTACATAATTATATCAGAAAACTGAAACATACTAATCTGTGGCGGATCCAGGAATCTTGAAAAGAGGGGACATGTTTGTGGTCAGATTTGGGATCCACTGCTAGACAAAAAATGATTAATCAAATCTTATGTACATTTTGCACACAAAATGGAATGGGGTCTGAGGCCCCATTAGGCCCACTCTAAATCCGCAATTGCTAATAACAGTTTAGTCATTTATGAAATGATTTGTACAAGAATCAAAACACATCAACAAAAAAGTGGGTCATTGAGGTATGGAATCAAAATCCGGTCTTTTTTCTTAGTATTTTATGTATCGTCAAGCATTTAATGATAAGACAATGAGTTGCAATAATTTAGAAAAGAAATATTTTTTTAAATCAAATTATAATAATGAAAAGAAATAAAAAAATATAAATTGACAATTTCCTCAGAAAAAAGATATATAGACAACTATTTACATTTATCAAATACATTCATTATTGTTTCTTTAAAAGCCACTTTAAATATTGGTTGTGTAACTTTGGAAACGAAATCAAGTATCCATTTATTATAATTTATCGTCATCATATTATATACATCCAGCACAAAGATGTCTTGCAACTCCACATCTTAGCAATTTATTTGTTGTTTAAGCGTATGACATTGTGGAAGAAAACAAGCATTAAAAATTGGAACCTGAAATCATTTACAGAAATGGATATTGTAATATTTTATGAAAATTAAACATGAGTACTTTTAATATGAAAAGCTATTATAAAACATCGACAAGGGGTAACGATATAATCTCCACATCCTTCTTTTATCACAAGAAACCCATCTCCAGAAACAGTTTTTCAAAATTTTTATTCATCTTGATATCCAGGTTCTCAAATTCATAAGAACTTTTCCAACTTAATCCAACTCCTTTAAACTACCTTTAGAAAACATTGTATTCAATTTTATCGTGAGAATTTGTACAATGTGTTCTTCAAAGGAAACAATAAAGAACCTTTTTTCACTTTTATTCGCAACTTATTTTGCTAAAAAATCGTTCTGATTGTACGTACAAGAACTGTGAAATTGAAATAAAAAAGATGCTTGAATTTCTAATTGATAATAAGTATGTTATTTGGATACCGGGTGTTCCAACAATTTATTGGAATTCCCTTGGATACCATTGGAATTCCCATAGTACCAATTGTACCCCCTTATAAGAAAACCTGCTTTTGTATTCATATGATGTAGAACTTTTCAAAAATCTAATACCTGGGAGAAAAACTCTTTGTAACCTCAATATGACGTTTTCATATACATGTATTAACGACGTATTGTAAATTAATGCATTGGTAATTTCCATTCTTATGTCGATACGATATATCCTGGTGAGCTTTATTTGAAAGATACCACAGAATCTCACACATCTGTTTCATATTTGGATATTTTACTTGAAAAAGATATTTAAGGTTACCTAACAACCATGCTAAATGATGAACTTAATAACTTTAACTTTTCAATAGTTTTTAATAGTTTACATCTCTTACTTATGCAGCAATATACCTTCATCACCTGTACACGCAGTTTATATTTGCTACCTAATTTGATACGCAAGAGCATAATATACGTATGTACAATTTTGTAAACGACGTAAATTATCGTAAACAAGATAATGAAGCAAGAATATTTGCAGTCTCGTTTAAAGTCTCATTTCGTACGTTCTTTGATCTGTAGAATGACTTTGTCAGCAAATATAATTTATCAGTAAGTCAAATGCTGACTGAAGTTTACATACTAATTATTAGGAAACTTTAAACCCTGAATTAACGATGGATTTTCCGTTATTTTACAATCATGACAAGGAGAACACGGTGGGCTCGACCAATAGGCAGGGGTACTCACTCCTTGAAGGTACCTGATCCCACCTATGATTGTGAAGGTCCTTATTTGCTCTGTTCCTATTTTGTACTGTTTTATAGATTTCTGAGCTTGAATGCTGTTGTTATCGCCATATATGTCTTTTATAAACCTCTTTTTACGTCTTATGCTGAAGAGGTTTTTGTATACATGTATTCAATTTACATGATTGACAAAAATAGAAATATTGATAAAAACTCCTATTTTCCTTACAAATATCTTTATTATCACTAATGATGACAGGTTATGTTTATACCCATAATTCTGAAAAAAAAAAAATAAGTCAGCATAATTTGACTAAAATGTTGTCAAAATCAGTTATGAAAGAAATTGAAAACATTAATCTTTTTATTAATGCTTATTGTGAGAATATTCAAACTTCAATCGAAATATACCGGTTACGGTAGCCTAGTGGTAGAACTTCCTGATCGGGAGTCCCGGGCTCGACTCTCATTCGCGGCGCTACCTGAGCATGCTTCCATGTAAATATGATGAATTATGGTTTTGTCATTCTTGAGAAGATGTTTAAAGAATTTTCCCATACACACAAAATCACACAAAAAAGCACAGTCATTTTAGTTTGTTGCACAAGTATGAATACTGTCAGCAATGGCATAGTCACTACGCTAACACATGATCACTTGAAAAAGTTCGGAATGTGCGATTGGTGGGCAGTTTTCTTCTTGAAAATATCTCTGTTCACAAGATCACAAATAATGTTAAAGTTAATCAAATTGTCACTACTATCGGCACGGCTTTGAAGGTAGGAAAGCACAATGTCACATGCACTAGATACAGTTTCAAGGCTATGAACGGGGGCAGGGCGGTCTTCGGGGTCGTTATCATCTACAGGGGTTTTGTCAGGCAGCATTCGGAAAAATATGCCGGTTTCATCAGCATTATAAATGTCTTGAGGGGGTAGCGTGTAAGAAGAAGTTTCAGTTTTTCTTGCCAGACTGACATATCATAAGACTGCGTGTCAACTGACTTTTCTTCTCCACAGACTCTTTTGAACGTAATCCCTTGCCGGGATTTGAAATTTTCTAACCAGCCAATAGAGGCCTTAAAGTCTGCTACATCGAGTTTCTTGGCGAACTCTTCTGCTTTTGTAACTAGCATGGGACCGGATATGGGAATGTTCTGGTCCCTGGCAACTTTGAACCATTTCAAAGTGGCAGATTCAACGTCATTAAATGTACCCGTTCTTGTGTTCTTTCTTTTTGGATTGAATTGCTAGTAGGCATTTAGAATTTTTTCTTTGTTTTTCAACCATGTTGAAAGTGTATTGGGCGGTACGCCGAAATCTTTGGCTATCTGAGATTTTGATTTCTCCCCCCTCTCGACCGCCAGAACTGCTTCATACTTTGTGTCAATATTTTTCATGTTGAGTTTTCTTTTTACGCCTTTGCCTCCTAATGCAGACTGTGCATTAGGTGCAGAATTTCTGGCTATCCCCCCGGGCTGACCGGGTCCTTCACCAGATTGCTCAGTAATACTGCACTGCGAGGCAACTTGTCGTAAAATTGATTTCTGAGTAGCTTCTACCGATCTGGCTATCCCCCCGGGCTGACCGGGTCCTTCACCACATTGCTCGGCAGTACTACTCAGTTCTGTAAGTACTTGTTCTGCAATAGTCGTCATAATTAACTGATACTGATATGCTAAAATTCTGCATTTTTATGATTAAAATTTGACACTGACTCAAAATTAGTGTCTTGTCTCTTAATTAATTTCTCATTTTCACTGCGTCTCCAAATTATAATTAGGCGATCGATTATCAATCAATTATCACCTTGCAGTACTGGTGTCAGCTAAATAAACATCCCGTTACACGGACCAAGCGTGTAACGCCTCGGGCAATTAAAAATCCAGGTAAATGTGTCAATTAGATAACCCTGGTGAACACAGGTAGGCACTTCGAGGTATCAAGGGTAAATTACTATAGATTATACATAACGGGACTGAATTTTGACTTCGAGAGATCAAGGGTTTCGAGAGATCAAGAGTTCGAGAAATCAAGAGTGAATTTGCTTAGTTATATAGGGAAAAAAATCGGGACCGGCGACTCACTTCGAGCGATCAAGAACTTCGAGAGAACGAAGTTCGAGCCATCAAGAGTTACCTGTATTTCTATGTAAAAGTTTGGTCGGCCATTTTGGCCCCGCCCTACCTCCGGGGGGGGGGGGGGGGGGGGGGGGGGGGGGGGGGGGGGGGGGGGGGGGGGGGGGGGGGGGGGGGGGTTGGGGGGTCATGATTTGAACAAACTTGAAACTACACTACCTGAGCATGCTTCCATATAGATATGATACATTATGGCTTTGTTATTCTTGAGAAGAAGATGTTTAAAGAATTTTCCTATATATTTCTATGGAAAACTTTGGTCGGCCATTTTGGCCCTGCCCTACACCTGGGGGTCATGATTTGAACCAACACTTGAATCTACACTACTTGAGCATGCTTCCATATAAATATGATGAATTATGGCTTTGTCATTCTTGAGAAGAAGATTTTTAGAGAATTTTCCTATATATTTCTATGTAAAACTTTGATCGGCCATTTTGGCCCCGCCCTACCCCGGGGGGTCATGATTTGAACAAACTTGAAACTACACTACCTGAGCATGCTTCAATATATATATGATGAATTATGGCTTTGTCATTCTTGAAAAGATTTTTAAAGAATTTTCCTATATCTATGTAAAACTTTGGTCGGCCATTTTGGCCCCGCCCAACCCCCGGGGGTCATGATTTGAACAAACTTGAATCTACACTACCTGAGCATGCTTCCATATAAATATGATAAATTGTGGCTATGTCATTCTGGAGAAGAAGATGTTTAAAGAATTTTCCTATATATTTCTATGTAAAATTTGGTCGGCCAGTTTGGCCCCGCCTTA